TAAAATAGTTTTTCTTGAGGTCAGCCCTTGTTATGAGGAACAGAATGCTCTGGCATATTTTAAAACAGTTTCCTTCCCTTCTAACTCCAGAAGCTTAAGGGAATGCCCTCCTCCCCCAGTTTTCATTATAAGAATGTGTTAAAGCTCTTGTTAAGTAAAACTCACAAATTGTGTGGCCTCTTGGTGTTTTTAACTCAAACTGTCAACATTGAGCCTCCAGCAGTTTGTCATTGTAGTTCAGGCTTTTCCTATGCCAACACTGATTCCTGCAGACATTTTTGCTCCTGGAATTCTGTTCCAGTAAGTTGTGAGTCTTTGCATCTGCCTGTCTGATAATTTTGGGGGAAGCAGTTTACACTATAGCTCACTGTTCTGATGGTTCTAGGAAGAACAGTTGAATTTTCTGTTTGTTTAGCTTTTTACTTCTTATTAGGACAGAGTGATGATTTTTAAACTCTTTACAAGGTGGACTGAAAATGGAAGTCTCTTCTTCACTTTTGAAGGATAATTTCATTAGGTACATGATTCTCGGTTGATGGTTCTTACTTTTTAACAGAAAATAGTTCACCTTATCCTTGTCTCTGCTTAATTCTGTATGTGTAACTATGGACAACTGATTTCCTCTCTCTGATCCCAGTTTCTTCATCTATAAAGTGAGTAGATTCTGGTGGAGAGGGTTGGAATAGATGAGCATGAGGGTCCTTCTAGCTCTAATACTCCTTGATTCAGTCATGCAGCTACACAGCATCAGGGCTAGATGTGCCAGCTGTACTAGTTTGTGGTTAGTAGTGTGAGCCCTTCACATGGGCCCACTTCCAATCACACCATGTTTTGCTTAAAGAAGTCACGGTAGGCAGCACTTGTGATATGTGCATCCACATTTGGCCATGCTTCAAAAAAAAAGATCCCAAGCCCTAAAAATCCAAACAACAACAAAAGTCAGAATGCCTACAATCCAAATGCTTTGCCTATATTCAGGAAGGAAATATAAAAAGAAAAGAAACTTAAGCTGGGCTCATTGGTGTATGCCTGTAATCTCAGTGATTTGGGAGGCTGAGACAGGAGGATCATAAATTCAAGGCCAGTCTGAACAACTTAGTAAAATTCTGTCTCTAAAAACAGGGGAGGGGGATGTAGCTCAGTAGTAAAGTGCCCCTTGGTTCAATCCCAAGTACCAAAAAAGAATGAAAAAAAAAAAAGGGAGGACATACACCCTATACTATAAACAGAAACAAATTAGAAAAGACAACCCAAAAGAAAAATATTTTTTCCCTAAGGCCTCAAGCAAAACTGAGACTAAGTGCCTGACTCCCAGACTCTTCCAGTGCATGGGTAAATAGCATCACAAGTGGGAGGCAGCCCCAGGTTCCTTTTGCAACCTCAACCCTTTAGAAAAAAGAGGCTAAGTTAGGCACAGTGGTGCACAATTATAATCCCCCTCAGGAGGCTGAGGCAAGAGGATGGCAAGTTTGAAGCCAGCCTAGGCAATTTAGGAGACCCAATCTCAGAATAAAAAAATAAAAGGACCGGGGATGTTGCTTAGTGGAAATGCACTTGTCCAGCATATGCAAGGCCCTGGTTCCATCCCCAGCACTGCAAAGGGAAAAAAACCAAGAGTCCATTACCATTTCATTTCTCCAGGGAATAGTACCTCCTTCTTCAGAAAACCCCTCCTCACTCCTCGAGGGAGATGTGGGGGTTTATATTTGTGTAGAACCTGCCATCCATCTGTGTTGGTTAGTTGGGTGTACCTGATGGGGAAGTTCTGACATCACTTGCCCCCTACTTCCTATTTCCCTCGAGGCCCACCTACATCTCTGCCCTATTGTGGTTTGGTTACAAGCCCTTCTTTTGTCTACAGAATATATTTCAGAATCCTCCTAAATGACTCCTCCTTTTGCTTAAGGATGGTTGAGATAAGTTTCCAATTGGCAGGCCAGGAGCCCAGAGAAGAGAATCTCCAAAAGTGGCAACACACAGAAAGGCCCCAGGTGAGCAGCTGAGATTTCAACCTATCTTCACTGAAAGCCTCAACTTTCAGCACTGTGTCCTGACAATGATTTGCCTGGATCTGTTCAACTATTCCCATCTTTCTCCTCCTAAATTCCAGGGACCTGGGAGGGGAGCTTTGAGTTCTTGATAATGGAGGAGAATGTAGAATCTCAGTAACTAGTGCATTAAAGGCTTTTGACCTTAATATGTAATCAGAAGTGTGCACATTAGGTCTGGGGTTGTTCCATTACAGCTGTAAAATGCCAAGCTTTGTAGTTGTTTGTGTGACCTAAATATCTAATGATAGTTCAGATATTTATGGCCCAGCCATCAATAGGATGCATTATGGCTATTAAACATGATATACTGAAGATTATTTAATGACATGAAAGAGTGCCATGATATGTGAAAGCCAAGATATATAATCGAATACACTTTAGAACCTTAATTGTGTCAAGTTCAATAATATTATGTATACATTATCAGATGACCAAAAAGAACCACAGAAAATTTTATTTTCTTCATTATATTTTCTTGTAGCCTAAATTGTTTAATTGTTTATAATGAACTTTTTTTTTCTTGTGCCAGGGATAAAATCCAGGGCCTCTCATGTGCCAGGCAAGTACTTTACCACTGTACTACATCCCAGTCCCTATGACAAGCACATTTGGTTTCTTAAATTTTGGTACATTTGGGCATAATCTTTTATATTAAATGATATGTAAAAGTTCAGTACTTTATTCATAGAGCATATTTTGCTATTTTAAAGAATCAGATTTCTTTCTCTGCTGTTAGTTCTCAGACTTTATCAGTTACATGACCAGCAGGAATGGTAAGGTCCCATTTCCTGTCATGTTCCTCCATCTAGAATGTGTGTTCTCAGGCTGCCTGCATCTCTGGAATGCTCTGCCTGGCTGGCTCAGGAGGCTGCTGTTTCAAACCCCAGGGCAGAGTTGTTTTTTTCAGTTGACCGTTGACATTTAGCATCAAACTAGTATCCATCCTTTTACATGAACTAATTCACAGTCTCTAAACCAGGTAACTGCAGGTTCTGTTCCTTGTTTTTTTCCAGGAGAGGTAGGGAGCTAGAGATAGATCGTGGAGTCCCCCAGCTATGACAGAGCAATTAGGGAGCTGCTGTCTGACAACCAGGACAGACCTTTGCCTGAATTCATGAATGTAGCTACACAGGGGTGCCAAGCACCCAGGGGAGGCGCCAAGGTCCCCAAGCTCACAATGTACAATCTCAAACACCTTTTCTGACCCAAACAGTTGGTTCGTTCCATAAAAGAGCAAATCTGTGCCTGGTGCCACAATTCTTAATGATTCCTCTCTAAAAACTCATTTAATGTTCAGAACAACCCTGGAAATAGATATTATTATCATCGTCATCCCTCTTTCGCAGATGAGGAAACTGAAGTACAAGGAAGCTAAGTAACTTGCCCAAGTGCAGACAACTAGGATGTGAAGGGACAGAGACATAAACCCCGCTTAACTGGCTGTTGAATCTACGCCATCAACCACCCCATTCCATTGCTTCTTAGTGCAGTGGGTTTCATCTCTCTTCATTCCAATCCTAGTCAGAGGTGGTCAGTTGACTATAGTGACTTATTGGCAAAATGCCCTGTCCTCTAGGTGCCCAAAGTCAGCCCCTGGGACTCCTGCTCTATACTTCTTCTTCCTTCTCAACTACCAAGAGTGATTCAGGCCCTCTTGACAGCCAGACTCTCTAAGATAAGTCAGTGGGCTGTGGGGCTCCTCAACCCCCCAATGCTGTTGGCTGTATATTCTAAAGTAAGAAAATGTGGTTTTCTTGGTTTTTAAGAAAAAAAAAATAAGGCTGGGTGTGGTAATGCACAAGCTTGAAATATCAATGACTTAGAAAGCTGAGACAAGAGGATAACAAGTTCAAGGTTAGCCTGGGCAATTTAGCAAGACTCTGTCTCAGAATAAAAAATAAAAAAGGGCTGGGAATATAGTTCAGTAGTAGAGTTCCCCAGGGCTCAATCTCAGTGCCATAAAAAAGAAAAAAGGAAAGAAGGCAAAGAAAGATGACAACCATCACTTTAATAGCCCACTCTGCACGTGTATACATATGTTATCTCTTCCAACAACCCAATTTTATTACTAGGCCCATTTTACCGAGGAGGCCAATGAGGCTGAGTGAGCTTATAAAACTAAAGCTCCTGCAGCTAGAAAAGGAATAGGAAGCACAGCAGGAACATATTCACCTTGCCCTCCCATCTCCACCCTCTATTCACACATCTAGATGGTTATCTCATTCCTAGACCCCTCATCCACCAGGCACATTTGTGGAAAACACTTTAATAATGTTATCAACTCAAATCAAGTATTTTGGGTTTGAATAATTTTTCAAATTTGATTTCTTATACTTCCAGTTCTATGAAATCACAAGTTCAACCATCCCTGACTCGAATTAGCCTTTTAGAGTGGTTGAGAGAGAGAGGTGAGATAATCTATGGGCAAAATGTTTTGAAAGCATCAAGCAATCTGCCATTCTGTGCTATCATTTTGTCATCATCTCTATTGAGAGTGTTCTCTCATACCCTCTGGGCTGTGTGAGGAACTATTCTGTGAAGCCCTGGAACAGAACCATATCTGTTTGGTGCAGTTTAAAAGTCAAAAAAGGTACCTGGGAAAAGTTCAACAAACAACATAGTCCCAACACTAATGAAAGAAAGACTCACCCAATATGAAGGACTCTCATTTCTATGAGCTCCCTCTGAGTCTTTTCCACCGCAACTTAGTGAGACCCTGTCTCTAAATAAACTACAAAATAGGGCTGGGGATGTGGCTCAGTGGTTGAGGACCCCTGAGTTCAATCCCTGGTACCAAAAAAACAAAAACAAAAACAAACAAAAAACTTCAAAACGCAAAAAAGAATAAGGAAGAGTATTTGAATCCCTGTTACTATCAGGACCTGTCAAAACAAACCTCATCATAACACACGTAGGACATCAATAGTTACAGTGAAATTTGTAGGATACCTTCCAACTGAAATTCAGAACTGAGGTGCAGAGGGTTCTGGAACACAGGCCTCCAGTCCAGTGATCACCTCCGTCAGGCTGGCCGGCCATCTCCTGGTAAGGAGGGTGCATAGAATTCTCAAAGGTTGGGCCTAGTAATAAAAGTGGGTTGTTCAGAGATAACATATGTATACATGTGCAGAGTGTGCTATTTAAGTGATCTTGTCATCTTTCTTTGCCTTCTTTTCTTTTTTCTTTTTTATGGCACTGGAGATTGAGCCGTGGGTTCTCTACTACTATGTATATGTGTGTAGCATGCTTACATTTCTGAAATCTGCTCTTATCACTCATAACGTCTTTGATTAAAAATTATCCTAAAAGCAATGCATGCTTATTGTTCAAAACTTCAAAAATGCAGCCGGGCGCAGTGTTGTATGCTTGTAATGCCAGCGGCTTGGGAAGTTGAGACAGAAGAATTGTGACTTCAAAGCTAGCTTCAGCAAATGTGAGGCACCAAGCAATTCAGTGAGACCCTGTCTCTAAATAAACTACAAAATAGGGCTGGGGATGTGGCTCAGTGGTTGAGTACCCCTAGGTTCAACCCTTAATACCAAAAAAAAAAAAAAAAAGGGCATAGATACAGAAAGGTATTTTACAAGGATGGCCATTATAGAGTCTTTCATAGAAGAAAAAAATCAGGAAGCTGAAGATGTAGCTCAGTAGGAAAGCACTTACCTAGCCTGGATTCTGCAGAAACTGCAGGGGAAAAAAAAGTAAAAAGTTGGAAATGATCAAAATACCGATAAATACTTCAAATGAAGTACAACAGATCTAAATTACTGGACCAAGTAACTACTCAGTCCACCAAAAATGATATAGGTACAAGACAGTGGAATGATTCTGACATAACTTTCCTATGAATACACCACAGTGAATCTCTACATCATATACAACCACAAGACTGGGATCCTAATTAGAATAAAATGTATTCCATGTTTGTATAAGTGTGTTCAAAATATACTCTACTGTCATGTGTAACTAAAAAGAACAAATAAATATTTTAAAAATGATATAGGTAAATATTTGTTAAGAGCAATAAAAAATCCATACTATATTAAGTAAAAGAAGCAAGTTATAAAATAGAATGATCCCATTTTTATAAAAACAATAAAAAGAAAATGTTTGGAAAGATATAATTATTATAAGTTTCAATGAAGAAAAAGTATGATTAAAAAAATATTTTAGTTTCTGAAGGCTCCAAGAAACTTCCCACTGCCAGGCATGCCCTTGACCTTCCCTCCAGTTTGAACAGTGAAGCTAGTGGGTATATAGCTGCACTTAGCTAAATCAGAGCACAGCACCAGCCCTGAGGCAGGTCACTTGGGTGCTCTACTTTCTCCTCAGCTAGACCCTCCCTCATTGTTATCATTGCTGGGTGGGGCAAGTTTTTCACTTTCATTTTCTGACCTTATCAGAACCATGGTCCTCTTGAGGCAAGAAGTGAAAATGGGAAATTGATGTTTCTAGGACTTATCATAAAAATGTGGTGGTTATGGAAAGGCAATTCTTAGAATCTGCCAGATCCCAGTTTATGCTACAGTGTGTTTTAAAGTCATTGGCATTTGCAGAGACTCGTATTGCTTTTAAATTTCCCTGCGACAGCCTGCAGTGAAGTGCAAAGTCACTGAGCTGCCTGGTGCCAGAAAGGTGACATTTCTACCATTCCATTTCTACTAAGACCTTTAAACTGGCATTAGTCTAAGACAATGGGGTGGTAGCTCTCTCACTGAGGACTGAGTTTTTCACTACCATAAGGATACTTCCAGTGTCTCAGGATCTGGGATTTTTAACTCAGGGCAAAAAAGAATGGCTCAAAAGAAGTTTTCTCAGAATCCCTGTGCTACCAGAAACAGATGTTTGAGTTTCTTTCTCTTCTAGACAAAACTCTTCTTCACTGACTCATATTTAAGAAAGCTGATCAGATTTTGGCTTTCCCCTATTGCATTTCATTGAATTGTCACACAATGTCTTGGGGGAGGGAGGGGTGAGGCCCTGGACTGTGAACCTTTAGAGGGCCTGAGCCCCTCCCATGGCCCCAAATAAGGAAACACCCTTAATAATGAGAACTTGCTTTGGTCAGTCTGTGCCCTGAAAAAGTTAAAGACATGGGCCCTAATGATTAATCACTCCCTGATTATAATACAAGAAGTTGGCTTTAGGTGTCAAAATTAAGTATGAAATAAAAAGTATGTGTTTATTTTTTTTTTTAACTAACTCTACATTTTTAAAGGATTAGTGATTGGCCTGTGTCTCTGTGGGCAATCCCTGAACATTTGGTCACTTCTGATAAGGGGAAGAATGACATCCAACTGGCCCCATAAAAAGAGAGGTACCAGGGTCTTTCTCTCAGAATGGTCACAGAGTAGAAGATGCAGTGTTCCTCCCCTGCCACTGCTATTGCTCCTACTGAGATCCTTTGACCTGGGCTGCTTTTCTGCTAGGCAGACCAGGAAGGACCTTCATCCTTTCTCCAAGGTCAGCATGAGCTCAGTGGCTTTGGGGAGAGGAGAATGGTTGGCTGCTCACTGGCTCAGCACCTCCCCCCACCTTCTCTCATAGGGTCTCAGAGCCTGTTCTGTGTGCTTGAGGCCCCCAACTGTCCAATTCCCTGGGGAAAGAACTTGTTTTTAGTGCCCTCTCAGGAACTAGACAAATAGACTTTTAATCAAACTGATGTAAGTGGCTCCTACTTCCTCCTCATTAAAAGTTATACTGAAAATAAGGAGTGAAAATGGAAAACAGATTTTACAGAAAGTAAAAATCAGCAAGTGTGATTTTGAAAACTCCACCATATACCTTGAGTAGAAAAATGCTAGAATCTGTTTCCTCAAAGCAGAACCCAAGCACCTGAGCAGCAATTGGCAAAGACATGGGGCAGGGCCTGAGCCCCTGTTTAATAAGGTTTATTCCCAGTACTGCTGGGAACTGGGCATTTGAAATAGAAATTGAATTGAGAAACTAAAAAATGATATTTCTTACTTCTTAAGTTGGTGCCTGACACGGCCTTCATATATTCCACCATATATTTTGAGTAGAAAAATGCTAGAATCTGTTTCCCCAAATCCAGCACAGCCTAAGGGCAATGATGATGTCCTGGGAAAACGCTATTAAGTTATTAACCCATTTTTTCCTTCCCCAATGCTTTGCTTTTTGGATTTTACACACACACACACACACACACACACACACACACGGCCATTGTGTATTTGTTGCCTCTCAGGAAATGCAAAATCATATTGACAGAGAGCATAGCTTTTTACTAAGCCAGGGTTTTGGTTTGGTTTGTGCTGCTATCATAGGATACCACAGACTATAATTATGGTGACCAGAAATTTATTGGCTCACAGTTCTGAGGTTAAGTCCATTACTGAGGTGCTGCCATCTGGTGAGGGCCTTTTTGCTCTGTCATCAGGGTGGCAGAATACTAGGGGTATGAGAGGGTATGAGAACAAGTGGGAGGAGAGAGAAGGCACCAAATTCTCCCTCTGACAAAGAACCTACTCCTGTGGTAAAGGCATTAATCCATTCATGAGAGTGAAGCCTTAAATGTTTAAGTATCGCTTAACAGTCCTACCTCTTAATACTATTATAATAGCAGTTAAATTCCAGCTGAAGTTTTGTTGTTGTTTCTTTGAGATAGGATCTCATTTTGTTGCCCAGGCTGGTCTCCAACTCCTGGGCTCAAGAGATCCTCTTGCTTCAGTATTCCAAGTAACTGGGACTACAGAAGTGTACCACCTCAACTGGCTTTAATGTAAGTTTTGAAAGGGACAACCATAGCAGGAGCCAACTAGAAAAGATTCCCTGACCCAAAACAGGTGTGAGTGCGAGGAGGCGAGTGTGAATGACAGAAGGGAAGAGGGTTGATTCTAGACAGGGACCTGGGCAAAACCTCTAAGAGGGGACCACCATGGAGGTAGTTCAGGTGCATTCAATAACTCCCCAGAGGCACAAGAAAGCAGGACTCCTGGGTCCCACCGAATGGCAGACAGGGAGTAGAAATACTGAAGGTGTCAGGAAGGCAAGAACCCAAGCACCTGAGCAGCAATTGGCAAAGACATGGTGGCAGGGCCTGAGCCCCTGATTAATAAGGTTTATTCCCAGTACCCCTGGGAACTGGGCATTTGGGATAGAAATTGAATTGAGAAAATAAAAAATGATATTTCTTGCTTCTTAAGTTGGTGCCTGACATGGCCTTCATCACACTGTCTGTCCTCTCCATGTGATTCCATCCTAGGATTGCTCACAGCCCTGCATAAGGAGGGAATGCAATACCGTTCAGTGTTATGTGGGATTCCCATGTCCTGATATTAGGATGTTCCCTTCCTGTTGCATGTGCCTCAGGTGAACTGGTTTTCTATTCCTCTTACCTAACATCTCAAGTTCAGAGCCACTCATTCTCCTTCCCCTAGGGCAGAGGCTAGTGCCACACATATAACAGCCTTGAATCGGAACATGAAGAAGACCTTCACTTTTGGGACATTGCTCATGGCTCTTTGCTCATGGACATTTGCCTGAATCCATGCACACAGAAAGCTACCACCATTAATATTATCCCAGAAGTCGAAAGTGTCTATATTAATATATATTTTTTTAAAATTGTGGACCAGCTGGGTGCAGTGGCTCATGCCTGTAATCCCAGTGACTCAGAAGGCTGAGGCAGGAGGATCACAGCTTTGAGGCCATCCTGGGCAACTTAGTGAGATCCTGTCTCAAAACAAAAAAATTAAAAAGGGCCAGGGCTATGGTAGAGTACCTCTGAGTTTAAACCCAGGTACAACCAAGAAAAGAAAGAGAGAGAGAGAGAGAGAGAGAGAGAGAGAGAGAGAGAGAGAGAGAGAGAGAAATGAACGAACAGATGAATGGACAGATTATCTTTGCCAAGGACAGAATTCTATTTAGTCCTCTTCAGGACAGAAAATATCCTATTTCAAAAGCACTTCCATTTTATTAGTAAGGAAAAGGAAAGGAGGAAGAGCAAAATGGAAAAAGCACAGAGAGAAGATATGGCTAAGAGTCAGAGGTAGTAGATTCAAGTTTCAGTTGTGCTTTTTGCCAGATTCTATATTTTCCAGGAGCTCTGGAATATCCTATCTGGATCCTCTCTCTCTCTGCATGGCCAAATCTTGCTCATCTATATAGAGTTGGTTCAATACAATCTAACTATCCTGTGAGCTCCTAAAGTGCTCTATCTGTCCTTCTCTTTGGTACTTGGGACTTTTAATATAATCACATTTGTGCCTAGATGGGCCCTCATCTCTTATCATTCTTCCCCTAATCTGAATGGCACTGGTTTTGAATACACACTTTCCTGCCTCCAGGATGCACTCATTGAACAACCCAAAGTCACCTTCTATGCTAAAATTATTCTGACAAGTAGATGCTCCAATGAGAGCACTTATCCTGCAATGAACTCTTTACACATCACTTCTCCTCTGGTCTGTACCTGCTGCCACAGCAAAGCTTTATGTTGGGTCCTGCTGTATCCTGGGCATCCAAAACAGTCCAGGATGTAGGAGGTGCTAAACATCTGTTTGTTGACTATTAGCTGTCCTTTCTGGACTCTAAGTTCCTAGAAAATAGGGATTGTGTCTTCTAGCCTTTTTAGACCTTTCTTACCACATACATCATGGTACATGCCCTAGGCCTAGGTGCTCAGTGAATGCTGGTAAATGAATGAATGTCTTTTAAAATGGGCAGATCCTTTAGGCATCTCAGTCAATTCTACAAATAACAGGGGAGGATATGCCAAATATTTTGTAGATCTCCACTCTACTCTTGACCATTTGCTCAGTGCTCAGGAAGTTGACCTTTACCAGTCTGCACCAACAGGCTCTTGTGCTCTCTGATTGGGTTCAGTCAATAGGAGGCACCAGTAGATTACCAGGGAGGGAGAAGAGTGAAGTCTAGGAATAGTTGATCTTCATCATTTGTGGATTCTGTATTTGTGAATTTTCCCACTTTCTAAAATCTTAGTAATCCTAAAATCAGTGCTACTCAGGGTGCTTTGGGGATAGACATGCACATAGCCCTGAAAAATTGGAGTCATCTCATAGGCATGTTCCCAGCTGAGACTGAACAGCCAACACTCTGTTTTCTTGTTTAAGCTCTCATTTTGCAAAGAATTACTCTAAGATCTACTTACTGCCACATTTTGTGCTTTTCATTGGTGATTTTGACGTTTAAAATGGTCCCCAAGGGTGTACTGGTTTCTGAAGTGCTGCCAGAGTTTCTAAATCCAAGAGGGCCATGATGTGCCCACATAGAAGATATATGTGTTAGATAAACTACATTTAGGCATGCATTATAGTGTGAGGGACAGGAACTCAAAGTTAGTTACTTGATAATATATATCAAAGTATCTTAAAGCATAAAAATATATGAAACAAAAGTTATATATTGATAGGTTATATATCAATGAGACCAGAAACTCACAGGAACCTAATCATGTGTTTCCCATAAGAACAATGGTTCAGTATTCAATAATTCAGTGTTTACAATGACTTGATAAAACACAACTACTGTAAAGAATGAGAATTAACTGTACTTATTGCCCAGGAATATTCTATATAATGAGTTGACATGAGCTTACCTCCATCCAGCCACCAAAAGCCATCAACTCCTATTGTGCTGCTTCTCTGGAACTACAGCTATCATCTTGGTATTCTTGTAATCTGCTCCATCTTGAGTCCCTGTAGGCCCAGAGGTGATAATAGGCTCCTACTGTTGCTAGCCCCAAATGATTCATCATCTCTTGCTGGTTTCCCTGCATTCTGCCCACACCTTTGTAAACAGTCCCTTTATTGAGACTCCTGTCTTACCCCCTCTAAAAAGGCACCATCTGTTTCCAGCCAGAATCCTAACTAACACAGTTTATGGAAAACTTCAGCTGTGTTCTTTCTAGCACCTACACAACAGACACAAGCATGGTCTCCTCTCTTCCCACCCATTCCCAGTGAAACTTCATCACTACAACTCCTTTCTCCCATCACTACACTCTTGCTCCCCTGGAGGATGAACAGTGGTAACCCTAGGATTGAGCTTCTTGATAGGGCCCCTGATCAGCAGCAGGGTCACCTCTTAAGAGCCTATTAAAATGCAAATTGCTGGGCATCCTACATTTACTAAATCTGAATCTCTGAATTGTGTCTTTCATAAGCTTTTCTAGTGATTCCTATGCACCCTCAGGTTTGAGGCCACTTTTTGAAGTACTGGTGGGTATGGGATTGGGAAGGTGGGCATGGGGCAGTGTTCAGGACCCTTTCCAGGGCCTCTAACTCCCACCTGCTGAATTCCCATTTTAATTCTCCTGGCCTTTTTTCCTCTAGGCTGAGCCACACCTGGGAACACATACAACGTGGAGCACAGAATCCTTTGCACCCAATCTAGGTGTAGCGTTTCTTAACCAGTGGAGCATGGTACCTTCTAGAATACACATGGCTATTCTGGAAGCTCAACACTAAAATGCCAGGCTTCTGTAAGCTCAGCCACAGGGCAAGAGGAAATCTAACAGCCCTCAAATCTAACGCTTCCTTGGGTTTTCACTTTTCTATGGAACTGCCATGTATGTAATGATATTAATATCCATATGGATGCCTTTTCCCCTGTTAATTTGTCTTTTATCAGTTTAATTCTTAGGTCCCAGTCCACTGAACCTAAGAGAGTAGAAAAAAAGGATATTTTCTCCCTACCACAGTGGGAAGAACTGTTATAGACTGGGATCTTCCCAGAAACCAAAGCAGCATGAAAACCATTTATTCTTCAAATCTCAATTCTTGTATTCAAGTCAGAAAGACTTTAGACATGTTGCTTAGAGTAACAGGCATGAGTTTACTGAAGGGATAGGACAAGGGAAAGGGGATACTCTCAAGGGAGAGAGTGGGTCCTCTCAGAGAGGAGAGGGATGGCATGCCTTTCCTGCATTCCAGTTTTATCGGGGATCCCAGAGAAGTTTCCCACCCAAGTTTACCTCCTGACTTTTAATTGACAGAAGGATGACATCAGACTTTCAAGTCCCTACTTCGTTCTAATTACATTATTAACTATAAATTCTTACAAATTTTGTGGTTAGGAGGAATTTATCCTTTTCTCCATAAATAAATGGGTCTGGTCTGTGAAGAAGGGATTTGGGATTTGGTTTGTGAAAAAGTTCACAAAAGTCTTCCCCTTCAGGATAAATTGGTTTCCTCTTATTGACATTGTTTTGGACCTATATTTCTCCTGCAGATAACAGGTGGTTTGCTGAGGAACGTGACGTATCCTGTCTACTTAAGCCAGGCAGGACTGCAGGTAAATTGCTTCTTGAACATTAGCACAATGGGCCCATTAGATAGAATTATTCCCTTAAGCTTGGGTTCCACCATTTGCATCTATCTGTCCCCTATCAAAACCAATAGTTGAGATGGCCCTGTAGATTTGAAAAAGAAATAATTTTCATCCCTGTCTTAGGGTTCTGAATGGAATTGCTTATTACTTTATTAATGTTTCTATATCTTCCCTGATTTCAAAAAGCAAATTTGAGGGCTGAGGCTGTAGCTCAATGGCAGAGTGCTTACCTAGCATGTATTAGGCACTGGGTTCATCCTTAGCACCACATAAAAATAAATAATTCTGTCCATACACAACTACCAAAAAAAGTTTTAAAAAGCAAATTTCTTATTAATATACATATAAACAAAGCTAAAAAATTAATAGTTGCCCCTGGGATTTGCAAGTTTTTGTTTAAAACATTTTAAAAATGATTAGCTTCTTGCTGATATGGTAGCAAGTGAACATTCCAGTGTTTGAGCACATGAAAGACCTTGCAGTTTTATTGGGGATACCAGAGAAGTTCCCACCCAAGTTTACCTCTTGACTTTTAATTGACAGAAGGATGTACCAGGAATAACAACATCTAAAGTGAAGACTTAAGAAAAAACTTAGTGACTAGATTATCCTTAGGATTCTGCATTTTCTATGCAGTTTTGTATTTTTTAAAAAATAGCATATCTATCACAGAAATTTAGTTAGCATCTTGGAATTTAACACGGCTGTGAGTGTGAGAGAGCGAGAGGAGAAAAGGATTTTTTCTCCCAGTGCTGGGGATGGAACCCAGGGCTTCAGACATTGGAGGCAAGTGCTCTACCACTGAGCTCTGTTCCCAGCTTTTTTTTTTTTTTTTTCTGTTTTTGATGAGTCATAGTCACCATACCTAGTATTGCAGCTGCCAGGCTTTGATATTGTAACTCCTACTACCACAAACTTAACAGCCTGTCTGGTTTAGAGAAAACATTAAAGGGCTTGACTATAAAAGGAGGTTCCGTAAAATCCTTGGGAAATAGCTAGAAGCAGATGGATTCACCTTCAGAGACCATAATTCCACAGGCTGTGTAAAGGTCACATGATCTCCAATGCATTCGTCCCTGCCTATTTCTGAAGATTGTGCCTATGGGCTTCCTCTCTCAATCTTATTTGTGAGCTCCTTTTCATTCTCTGACCCAAGAAGGAAAAAAAAAAAAAGCATATTAATGATGTCTTTTATTTATTCTATTATAGCATGTCAGAATAAATGAAAAGAACATTTGTCTGGCAAAAAAAAAAAAAAGAGGTAAACAGAAAAAAAATGAAAGAAAAACTATGGAAGGAAAATAAGATGTGGCCCAGATATACAGTCATATAAAATGTATACCATGCCATAAGGCACTGTGTAGCTCTAAAAGCAAGCCTCAGATTTGGCTCTGAGCTTTACCATACACAGCTAAGAACAAATCAATGACAGGATTCACTTGTCCACAATTTAGGCTTTGCTCAGCAGAGAGATGTCGAAGACAAGTCCTTAGGGACCTAAAAGAGTTAGAACACATTCAGGGAGGCCTTTGGGGTTTGGGTGCTTTTTCCCCAGTTGATTTGAGGAAGAAGTCGCTGATCCAATGCTCTGGGGTTCTAGGGGGACCCAGCCTTGCTCCTCCTCATTTTCCCCTCTCCTGAGCCCTGCACTACCTTCTCATAGACAGAAAATTGGGCTGATTTACTTAGGGGTTACCCTGTTTGGGGGGTATAGTATTTGTTCCTATTCACATTGGCCATGGATTTCCAATTTTGACTGCACATTAGAATTATTTGGGGGAACTTCTTAACTTATATAACTGTCTGGGTACCACCCAGATTAATGGAATACAGACCAGTGGGAATGGGCCCAGGGATTCTTTATTTTGTCTTAATGCTCCATTGAATTGTATGTACAATGAGAGTAGAGAATGAGTGACAGCTGGGCATACTCTACGATCTACAGAGCTTGACTGTTGATCAGAGTCACTTGAGCAACTTGTTCAATGTTCCCATTCCTCAGCACTCCACCTCCTAGTCTTTCCTGCTACCTGGAGCCAGGAATTCCATATTTTAAACAAGAACTCTAGGAAATTCTGACGCAGCTGACCCACAGACACAAGAGTCCACAAAGTGTAAAGGAGACTGGGCACCAGTCTGATCTGACCACAGTGGGCCATGGGATCTTTTGGCCTGTTAAGTACTTTGATTTTGTTTCCTTGCTGGTAAAATGGTTGGAGAAATATTCTGCTGTACTCTACATCCTAGATGGTTGTAAAGATTTCTGGTTGATTCCTAACTAGAATGGGGGCAGGGCTGGGGATGTAGCTCAGTGGTAGAGCAGTTGCCTAACATGTAGGAGACCCTGGGTTTGATCCCCATGACAAAAAAATACAACTCAAATGCGAGTTCCAAGGGGATGGGGGCCTGTTAATTTTTGTATCCCTGCCATGTAGGTCAGTGCTTTGTACACAATAGGCACCTAACTAGATTGAAAATGAGCTCATATTTGGCAAATCAGATTAGAAAGGATTAAATATGTTTGTGGCACCAGATATGCATTCTTACTTGAGGTGTGTGCACATGTGTATGTGTGTTCAGGGAGAAGGACTGAAATCCACAGACCTATTTTGGATATCCTGGACTTCTAGGTTCATTAATTTCAGTCTATTTGCTGAGAGCAGTGAAGTATGTGAGTTTGGGGCCTGGCACAAGAGTGCCCTTTGGCCTAGTTTCTACTATCTCGTGTCAAAATGTGGGTAGATTTATGAGATCCAACTGGAAGATGGTGAAATTTACCACTGCCAGCATAAACTCTTCTATAAGAGCCCAACATGCTAAAACAGTGCTATAGGAGAACAATATTCTTATGACATGTGTAGCTCTGAAATAAACTTATTATAACAGCATGGGTTTTCTTAACGAAGGAAGGGCAATTTACTGAAGTCTGGATATCATTTTGGTGATATGAGAGATTATCTACAAATAGCACCTTCTGAATAGTAACCAAACCATGACCTTGCTTATGTGAAATGTCCAATTAGAGTACATAAAACAGCACCAAGTGCTAAGATAAGGGAACTGGGCAGAGCAAGGACTGGGCCAGGTTAGGTTGAGTGCATTGTGTGCCTTAGCCAAGTCAGTTCCCCACCCAAGACCAGGTTCCTCAGCCGTAAAATGATAGACTGAATGATTATCTCTAAGGTTCTTTATCTCTCCAATAGGCTGTGAAGCTCTGATTGTAAAACTGTTAAACCAGAATTCTGGCTATGAACAACCTTTAAACAAGAGGCCTTTTGTAGGGTGGAAGTGGAGAGAGGTCATTCAGCTCAGTGGTTGAGTTCAGGTACTGAACACTAAGAAAATAATTACACTTCCCTAAATCCACATGGAAAATCAGAAATGTCTAAAAGCAACATAGAAATGAATCACCGAGACAACTACTGATGCTTTTTTTCTTTCTGTTACTACTTATATCAGGATGCATATGAGTTTCCCATGACTGTGCAAAGAAATCACCACAAGCTTAGTGGTTTAAAACAACATAGATCTATCATCTTGCAGTTCTGGAGGTCAGAAGTCTAAAATAGCTTGACAGAGCTTATTTTTTTCTGGAGGTCCTAGGAAATCCCTTTGCTTCTCTTTCCAGCTCCAAGAGGCTGTCTGACCTGTGGTCCTACATCACCCAGCCTCTGCTTCCATCATCTCCGGCTCCCTTACCTCCTGCTTTCCCTTAGGAGAATCCTTTGTTCATATTAGACACCCTTAGATATAATCCAGGATAATATCTCCATTTTACGGACCATAAGTTAATCATGTCTGAAAGTTCCTTTGGCTGACATCCTAGCGTTCTTGTGTTAAGTGTAAATGTTCAGGATGATAACTCAGACGTTGCAAAACCCTAATCTTCAAAAAACAATGTTGCAAAACCCTAATCCTCAAAAGACATTAAGTAATTGTTCACAGAAGTCCTCTAATTAAGGTAGTACATTGAAGAGTGATGTTTTATAGAGATCTTTTAGTTTAGTTATAAGAATTGGAAAGATAGTGAAACTCAGTGGCAGAGCACTTTCTTGCCTAGCATGCATCAGGCCTAGGTTTTAATCCCAGCACTACCAACAAAGCCAAACAAATGATCACAAACCCCTTCAAAACAAAAATAAACATTTTTCTAGATGTAATATGAATTAAATAGCAAATTCCACATTTCAGAGTTCCTTCCCTCCATTCCTGGACTTCTTGGTAGCTGAGGGCTGCCAGTGAGATGTCTTTGTGTTCTGTTGAGCAGATTCAGATGAGAATATACTGAGTCTGCTGGGAGGGAGGCTGTCATGCCCCTTGAAGCAAAAAAAATACAGGAGGCTGTATCTACAGTGCATCTTCAAAGCCTTTCATTTAGAGTTTCTCAAATAAAGGGCCTCTCGTTCCACGTCCAACAGGAAAACCAACTATTCTGCCCAAGGGTATAGGTGAAATGTGAATTAGTCCAAATGGGAGGAATAGTCATCCTATAAAACAAGTGAAATGACTGATGTTGAACCAGAAGATTGGCAAAATCTCAGGAATATGGACTAGTCATAAAGCTTTGAAAGATAAGGAAATAAATATAGGTTCTTCTTCTTACCTGCTCACCCAGTTCCTTGGGAAATGTAGTTACATGTAACTATTACTCATATGCAGGTGAAACTTTGCACTGTTACCCAGAAGGAAATATCTGATATACCATTGATTAAATTTGCTAAGTTCTTTGGTAACTTTAAAGAGCATCTCTCTATATATTTTATTTAATTCTCACAATAATCCTTTGAAATGGTTGATAGGCTTTTTTTTTTTAAAGAGAGAGTGATAGAGGGAGAGAGAGAGAGAATTTTTAATATTTATTTTTTAGTTATTGGCGGACACAACATCGTTGTTGGTATGTGGTGCTGAGGATCGAACCCGGGCCGCACGCACGCCAGACGAGCGCGCTACCGCTTGAGCCACATCCCCAGCCCGGTTGATAGGCTTTTTAAATCTGTGTTTACAGATAAGGAAACTAGCTCAGAGGGATGGACAGTCTTATAGGGAGACAGATGGACAGTCTTATAGGGAGATAGACTTTCTTAAGGTCACACAGAAAATTAATGACACAGGTAGGATTTGAACCCAGATCCTGTTCTGCTTTTGACTGTCTCCCTATAAGACTGTCCATCTGTAGCCTTAATGCCTCCTGCCTCACTTTTGAACTATTCCTAGTTTCTCCCAAACTCTACCATCTTACTTCACAAAGTGTGGCTAGCTAGTGTGGTAAAGAAGAGCATGAGTGTCCTCAGGGAGTCTGTCAGAAATGCCACATTTTTTCCCACCTCTTCTCCAGCCTCAGATCTCAGGTAGTTCCTGTGTACAACCAGGTTTAAAAAGTACAGTTTGGTCACATTTGATCATCCAGGCCTGACTGATACTCTCAAGTGGCTCCTTCACTTCCCTTCTCCCTGCAAAACATGGTCAGGGCCCAAGCAACAGAGTTCCACTCATTTCCTCTCTCCTTTCAGAACTTCCCCCTACAGGTAACTGGTTTTATAGGTTCAGAACTCCTCAGTCCTCTTCATTTTCCCTTGAAGGTTCTCATGCTGGTATCTGGTCACTTTAGCAAAGACTCTACTCCAGGAAGTTTCCTCACAAAAGTCCGTAGCAGAGCATGTTTTCCTAAGAAGTTGGATCTGACTTCATTGTTTTCTTTAGGAGAGCCTGCAACTTCTCTTTGGGGTAATCAAAGAGAAGCAATTTGTTCTTCCTTCCCCTCAATTATGAGAATCTGTGGCAGCAATAGCAAGACATATTGGCAGCAAAGGGAGGGAAGGAAGATAAGGAGTCAAAATAGCCCAGATAATCAATCAATTGGGGTTAGTTTGGGCAGAGAAAAGAGAATAGATAATTAACTTGGAAAAGTTATTCTCTCACTTTCTTGCTTTCTCTACATTCTCATCTCCACCCCTTAAACATTAAGAAACATCATTTTTAAAAGCACAAGAATTGTCAAAATCTTTCAGGCTCCCAGGTCAGAGGCATTAAAAATTCAAAAATAAACAATGATTAAAAAACAATTAAAACCACCACAACAAAAAAGAACCCTGAAATTTGCCTGATGAAAACACCAAGCCAAAGTTTTAAGACCTAGCAAGAACAAGTTTAAAATTCAAAGAAAGGGGTGGCAGGGGAGGGCATCCCTGGTCTTGTTGGCAGGAAACATACCTATACCCCCAGCAGGGGCCAGAATATGTTTTACACTTCAGAGGAGATCCAAAGGCCAACATACTCAAACCGGCCCTAATTTATGATAGGCCAGTTGGGAAGAATGTGGTATTTGTTGATTGTTATCTCTGTAAAGAATGGTGTCTTTGGAAGAGCTGGGTTGATCCCACCAGAAGTCTTGAGTGTAAACTTGGAATATATTCATGGTTTTCTGCAAGTCCGATAAAGTTGAAAAATCCACCCATTCTTAGAAGGGGATGGGACTGTAGATTGTATGCCCAGGCTTGTTCTAGGAGAGTCCTTTTAGACTGATCCAGTGGCTCTTTGACAAGTCTCAGAAGGTTGGCAGTAGAGATTGCTCTTTAGCTCTCTCAGCTGAGTTTTATTTCCCCTGCTGGGAAACCTGTGACTACTTGGCCACTTATATCTGAGACTGGGCAGAAAGGGCTGGAAGAATTTAGGAAGGAAATCTCAGGATTTAGGATGCCAGTGTCTTGTAAGATAGGAGGTCTAATCTTAAGAAGTCTAATCGTCCTTCCTAAGAAGGAAGGTTTTTTCTTAAGACAGGAACTGATGTGTAGGTTTGATTGAGTTTCACTTCTCAGCAATGCCTTCAGAGTTTACAGATTACACCTCAAATTGAGAGTCTTTGCTACCAGGATTGTCCCCTGGGTAGAGAAGTGCTCCTTGTTCTCCATAGTTGCTGGCTTTATTCTAGGCCCCTGCACTCTTCTCCTGTTCCCTTCCTTCCTCCCCACAGGACACACAAGATGAGTAAATACAGCTGCTTATTTCAGGCTTAGCCCCAAGTCTAGGGGTATGGGATGGAGCTGTAACTCTGTGCTTCAATTTCAGGGACCCAGTGTGTTCTATCCTGTCAGTGTTTAGGGATGGGGATGAGAGGGAATAATCCATTTCAGAACATTCATTGCACATAGAAATCTTTAGCTCTGCATCAGCACAAATGTCAGAAAGGGCCGTCCTACTCAATCATTGTTCATTTAAAATACACCAAACAGTGCCACAGATCGGGGAGGGGAATGAGGCATTTGGCAAGACTCACCTTCATACCTACCTGGAGGAGGAAGAGAAAGAGACCTGGCTAACTGTATCTGATAAATTCTAGCCGGTAAACTTTTCCCCAAATCCAGCGATAAGAATCCCGCCTATAACCTGATTCTCATACACAGAAATATTTTCTCTTTAGCAAGTGTGTCCTTGAGGGCTTAAAGGTGAGGGCTCAGAGGTTTTAAACTGGCTGCTGGTGGGTGGGATCCAGTTTGCAGATCTGTTTTATTTGGCACTTGCAATGGTTTTCTCTTTTAAAATTAGTTTCCAACACTAACAGAGCAAAAGGTTTCACATACATATCTATATTACTGTCATTTCTTGGGAAAAAAAATAGAAGTTCTGGTTCCTATAAGTCCCAAATTCTACAAAGTTCACACACACACAGTCAACCCACCTGTCCTCACCACCCTAAACTGACCTGCTTTATTCTCTTACCTTTTCTGTCCATTTCAGGAAATGATTGGTAAATGCTTTGTTCGGTTTCCCGATTACTTTGCTGACACAACAAGAAAAACTTGGACTTTTGTTTCTGAATCTCTCAATTCAGTCTCCCAACCTTGCAGGATCTCACAGATTCACTTTTCCTCTGGTTAGGATGCTGGAACCGTGGAGGAGTCAGGGGGAAAATAGTTAAAAAACTTTAGGCTATGAAGTAAGCCATTTTCTTTGACTTTTCTAAAGACTCAGAATACCTGTCACAGATCTGTTTTTTGATTTTTTCTTTAAAAAACTAAGGGTGAAAATTCTAATTTAGTAGGTACTTTGAATTGTTTGACAGTAGGAGGCTACTGAAGCCCAAGGCATTTATTATCATTACAGTTTATGACAATAGCAACAGAGTAGCAAATTGCTTTATTGACACTAAACTTGGGTAAGTTTCTGTCTCTGAAACTAAGAATTATTTAAAAATTCTACCTACTACAGTCAGCTATGCACACTATATAGTGAATAAAGTTTTTAAGGTGAAATTTACCTAATATAAAATTTTAAAAGTAAACAATTTAGAAGTATTTAGTACATTTTAGTGCTACACAGACCACTAACTCTATCTAGTTCCAAAGTATTTTCATTACCTCAAAGGAGTCCTCATTCTTGTTAAGCAATTGATTCTTTTTTCCCTTCCTCCCTGTCCCTGGTAACTACCATCTCTGTGGATTTACTTGGGTATTTCATATGAACAGAATCAGACAATATGTAACCTTTCTTGTCTAGTTTCTTTTACTCTTTTTAATGTTTTCAAAGCTCATCCTCCTTATAGCATGTATCAGAACTTCATCCCTTCTAATGGCTGAATGATATTGTTTTAATTTAAAAAGTTTTAATTAAAAAACAGAGAATCTATTCTTGATACTTCTGGCTTTTTGCTCATTGATTGCTAATATACCAAAGGGAATTAAGACTTGAAATGACAGAGGAAAGCAGGTTCTCTATTTACAAGGCCTCTCACCAAGAAAGTAGTTTTAAAGAGATATACACAGGTAGGGACATAAAACTATTTCCAGGAGTAGAGAAAGTAGAGTAGGAAGAAACACTTAACAATTAAGTGGTTGCCTTACTTAAAGTAAATATGCAAGTTAAATTTCCCTCAAGTTTATGCTGCAAGTTGCCTTTTGGCAACTTTAAATTAGATTGGTGTGCATGGTGTAGTGGTGTACACCTATATTCCCAGCAGCTTGGAGGCTGAGGCAGGAGGATAACAAGTTCAAAGCCAGCCTCAGCAATTTAGAGAGGACCTAAGCACTTAGCAAGACCCTGCCTCAAAATAAAAAATAAAAAAGGGTTAGGGATGTGGTTCAGGGTTAAGCGCTTCTGGGTTTAGTCCCTGGTGCCAAAAAAAAAAAAAAAAAAAAAAAAATTAGGTCAGTGTAAGAGGACTATTTCTTTATACCTACACCAAGCCAACTGTGGAGGGGTTGGAACATTGGAAGATGGTATATTCCCTAAAGCCATGCAGTTTCCTAACTGCCATGCAGATGAAGATGCCAACCACAGAATAACAGAATAATAGCAATGAACAAACACATCCTGAGCTTTACGCAGGTCTCCTGGTATAGGGCCTAGTAGCCCCACTCTCAGATGGGGAAATTGAAGCACAGCACAGTTAAATAATTTACCAGTGGTTACACAGCAGGTTAGTCATAGAGCAAAACATACTAAAGTAGTTTTAGGGCGGAGCCCATCCTGTGAACCACTGTATGATATATCTGTTTTACAACACGTGTGACAAGGTACTACATGGTTCTGGCCATTGGGGATGGGGATGGGAATGGGGGATGCACAGGAAGGGAGAAGATGGGAAGATGGCAATGCAGACCTGCCATTCATAAAGTTGAGGGAAGGATCTGGCCCAGGTTCCACCATAGTTGCCTCTGTGCCAGATGTGTAATAGATGTAGAAGAAGACCTTTGATGACACCATGGTTTGCCATTTTAGCCTGCATACGAATCACAGGTTATAGGACCCTACCTGCAGAGAGTCTGCTGCAGTAGGTGGAGCACAGGAAGGTGATTTTCTGCAGGTCCCCAGGTGTTTCTCATGTTATGTGGTCCTCAGACTACAGTTATTTACTTATTTATTTTCATACTTGGAATTGAATCCAGAGGTACTTTATCAATGAGCTACTTTGCTAATTTTTTTTTTAATTTTTTATTTAGAGAGAGGTTCTTCCTAAATTGATGAGGGTCTTGCTAAATTGCTGAGGCTGTCCTTGAGCTTTGGATCCTCCTGCCCCAGCCTCTGGAGTTCCTGGGATTATAGGTGTACATTGCCACATCTGGCCTCAGACCACATTTTGAAAGACATTTGTCAGTTTCATACAAGATCCACTGTTGTTTCTTTCCTCTTTGGAAAAGCAACAGCTGCAGAGGCTATTTTGGGCCAGCAAGGACCCAAAGAAGGTCACAGCTCATAGGTCAAGTGAAACCAGTCCTGGGTAGAGCCTAGGAATGGGGTTCCTGGTGGTGCATGAAGTGCTTAACTATTTAGAATGGGGGTGGGGAAGAGATGGGGCTGGATCTGCACTCCTAAATGCTTTGAGCTCTGGCAATGCATACCCTCATGAATGTTTTAATAGACTGAAACAGCCAGTTTCAGCATGGAGCAAATTCACATGAGTCAGCTTCCCCAGCCCTCAAACAGCTGAGTCATACCCTTTTGTCCTAAGTCACCTGCTCCTGCAGCCCAGTGGAGAAAGCAAACAAAGCCCTCAGTGTGTGGCCTTGAAATAAGTCCCCAGAAACCTTCACGTCCTGGGTTCTATGAAGGAGAAAAAGAAAATTCAAAATCTAAAGCCATTCAAAAACATGTGCACTGACTCTTCTCTCATGTCACAGGCTGAGTTTAAGAAATGATAATTAAGTGAAAACTCTTTCAAAAATTTGTTGGTTCAGCAATCGATTAATTACTGAATCTTTCCCCCTAAGCTTTTTAGTGGAAATGTGCTTGGAGCTGGGATGTAGTTTGGCAGTAGAGTATTTACTTAGCATGTACCAGGGTCTGGGTTTGATTCCCAGCCCCAGAAAGAAAGAAAGAAAGAAAAAAAAAAAAGAGTTCTTTGAGAAAAACCAAAACCAGAGATCAACTTTTTGACACTTTGCTCCCCTGTCGTATCACATCCATGTAGGGCCTAATTTATAAACTGTCTAAAGATTAAAATGACAGTGCTCAATAGACAAGTGCTTTCCTAGGCACAGAGCTGCTAGAGCCTGAACACAGGTCCCTGGCTTCTACTGAACTCATAGTAGGAAAGGGGGAAAAGAGAGAAATGAATAAAGAGGAGGAAGAATCCTACAGAGATAACTACTGGCATTGTCCAGTGAATTACCTTCTACATATTTATTATTTATATAGTATACCCTTATCTATTCAATTTTGTACCAGACTTTGGTAATATGGCATTTAATTCTACATGATATTCCAAACTCTGAATGTACTATAATTTGACCTTTTCTTTCTCCTTCTATGCTAAAGTCATTTCCATATATTTGACTTTTATAGATGAACATCCTTTTGCATTTTTCCTCTCTAGCTTCCACATATGAGAGAAAATATATGGCCTTTGACTTTCTGAGTTTGGCTTATTTCACTTAACAAAATGTTCTCCAGTTCCATCCATTTACGGGCAAATGCCATAATTTCATTCTTCTTTAAGGCTGAGTAATATTCCATTGTGTATATACACCACATTTTTTTAAAATCCATTCATTTGTTGAGGGGCATCTAGGTTGGTTCCATAGCTTGGCTATTATGAGTTGAGCTGCTATAAACATTTATGTGGCTGCATCACTTAGTATGCTGATTTTAAAATCAATATACTAGAGAATATCTTTTCTAATTGACCATGGAAAAAGAAAACTGGCTGTGACAGGTTCAGTGAGACACAGCTGGACTTGCTTCCTAACTCTTTTTGCCTCCCTAGATACAGGGAACTAGACAGCAGGGGTCCAACTCAGGTTTGCAGGGGAGGTAAGGGTGGTATGCTGTCTTAGGACAGCTTATGGACAGCTCAGCTCATGAGGGGCAGGTAGCAAACTTCTAAAGAGAAGTCAGATTTGCATATCTGGCTTCTGTGCCATTTGAAATACCCTTTCCTGATGTTCCTAGGCAGTCTGACATGTTGGGGTATGCCCTGTAGTTGACCATTTTCACCAGATATTAAAAATTTAGAGATTCATAGTTAGGAATATTAATTGTCTAGTAGCATCCTGAGGCCTCAGCTTTAGCATTAATGGATCTAAACCAACCAACCAACCAACCAACCAAAAAACTAATGGTGTTCCCTGAACCTTAGCTCCATTCCTGGTCCTTTAAACCAAACTGGCCCACCCTTATTCTACCTAAGTGAGCACATTAAACCCAGCTACGGGCAACAGAACCTCTCTACAATATTTATACAAGATCTTATTTGCATTTGTAACCCTTGCTCTTCTTGTTTTTTTAATTTTTTGACTCGCTGTCTTTCAGGTTTTGACATCTGCTTCTGTCTTTTGCATTTAGTTTCGACTCTCTTCTCACCTTTGTCCTGGAACCTCACTTAATTTCAATGTCAATGTACATCAGGTAAAAGGCCTCAGTACCAGGGAACTTCACCCCTGCCCTGATAGGCCCTCTTCCAAGAAAGGAGAAATGTAGGCTGTGGTTTCCTTCTAAGGCACATCTACTTTGGAATGGCCTGTGTGGGAGCCAGAGGCTGGCAATTCATCTGAATCCTGACAGGTCACATGCCCTTCCACTCATTTTGGCTAATTTACTAGGAAATATCCAAGAAATGGTGAGAGAGAAGGGTCATGGGGCATCTCTATGCCTGTTGGTCACTCTAGCTTTCACTTTGTCATGAAGGGACACACAAGAAACACATACTTGTCTGACAAACTACATGAATGGATTTAGCCCCAGTGATCAATAGCTTACCTTATGGGGCATCCATCTTGTCTTTTTCAGCAATTTGATACATGGGAACTAGAGCCTGCATTTCAATACACTGTGGTCATCTTTCCGCACATAAATCGGAGTGGCCTCAAAAGCTTCAAAGGCCAGACATTATCAAGGTCTGTTAGCCTTTGTGATCTAGGTGTGATCATTCCTGCTCTGCCTGGGGTTGAGACTGAGTGATCTCAGGAAACATCACTCAGAGCACAAACTTTGACTGCTCAAAACCATGCCAAAGTCCTTGCTGTGACCAGGAGCTCTCCTTGCTCTGGTCCCTGTCTGCTTCTCTGACCTCTCTTTTCCACTGGCCCCATGGCTTGGTCTGTTTTTGTTACAGGCCTTTCCCAGTGTTGCTTCTGAACATACCAGCTCAGTTTCCTCTGCCTGGAACATTTTCTCTCAGACTTATGTGGCCCTATTTCTCACTTCATTCAGGTTACCTCAAATGTCATCTACTCAGAAAGACCTTCCCTGATCACTGAAATACAACAGCAGCTTCTGTCATTCTCAATTTCCTGCTGTATTTTCCTCATAGCACTTAGCCCTGACATTTTATTCACATATATGTACACTCCTTTTGTTAGAATGTAACCTCTGTGAAGGCAGGAACATTGATTTGTTCTTCTGTTTCCCCACCCTGATTAGTAACTGACAGAGTAGATATCTTACATATGATAGCTCAAAAATATTCAAATATGAATGCCATAGTATATACAAGTCTAAGAGAAAAACTGCCTTTTAAGAACTCAATTATAGGTGCTGGGGATGTGGCTCAAGTGGTACCGTGCTTGCCTCACATGCGTGCGGCCGGGGTTCGATCCTCAGCACCACATACAAACAAAGATGTGTCTGCTGAGAACTAAAAAAGAAATAAATAATAAAAAAATTCTCTCTCTCTTTAAAAAAAAAAAAGAACTCAATTATAGCTTCATCTGCACTACTCAGGGCTCTATGATTATCATGATAGGAAAATCACTTCTAATTTATAAAGGATTATTTAAGGAAAATTCTCTAAAATAGCTTTTAATGAGAATTATGTGTGAGATTATTCATATATATATATATATATATATATACTGATTAATCCTCCTTGAATCCCATTAAGGCAGATATATCCATTAGCACAGATAAGAACAACTGGTCTAGGTAAAATTATAACTTAAATAATGCCATGTGTATTGAAGGTACCAGATCTAGGAACTCAGAAATCTGAGTTCAATAACCAGTTTTTTTTTTTTTCTATTATGACACACTGTCTCTCATAGGGTCTGGCCAGAGACATTTACCATGCAGTATTCATTCAGAAAGAGTGAGCTCAAGTGATTTACTCAATCACATAGCTATTTTGTCCCTAGATTTCTGATACCAATCAACTCAGCAAATGATGGCACAAAATAAGTAAAGCATAAAAGACTTTGAGACATTTGTGACCTTCCCTTAAGCACCAGAAACCTCCACATCTTGTTATACAGTGGACACAGTTGATTTTGAGGTCTTTCAAAGATGGTAGAAAGTCTAGGTTTCAGAGGAAGTAAATAGCAAAAACAGTTGGTTCTCATAGAAGGCAATATATACTCATTCCTTTATTTAATAATTACTTATTGAGTGATGACATGGGCTACGCACAGAGCTAAGCACTATGGATGTGGTGATGAATAAATAAGATGGACATTGTCTTTGGCTTTACAGAGCTTACAGACTAGAAAGAATCTCACAGAGCTAAAATTATGTTGTTTCCATAAAATTGTTATGTTTTCATTTATACATTTACTCAAGAATTATTTATTGTTGGGTGCAGTGACATACATCTATAATCCTGACAGCTCAGGAGGCTGAGGTAGGAGGATCATAAATTAGAGGCCAGCCTCAGCAACTTAGGGAGACCCTAAGCAACTTAGTAAGACCCTATCTTTAAAAAAAAAGAATTATTTATTGATTATATACTACACGCCAATTTTGTGTTAAGAGCAGACAACAGTGAGCAAAACCAGATATGATTTCTGCCCTAATGGAACCTACAGTCTAATGAGGGAAACATTAAATAATCCTGTGCATATCTGGTCAAATAAGGGAAACAAGAAAGGCTTAATTTTCTTAAGTGATTCTTGTTTGAGGAAGTACCATTTACACATTCTCTCCCAGGCTTATGTGGCCTTGTTTCTCACTTACACTGAGATTTGAAGGACTGAGTTAGAAATTAACTAGGCAATGGGGGAAAGGAAAACATTCTAGGTAATCCAAATAGCATATGAGAAGATCATGTTGTAGAAGAAAAGATGGTAAGCAGGAAGTCTGAAAGAGGCTAGTGCGGCTGGAGAGCTGGGAATAAGAAGCATTCTGATGGCAGAGGAGCCTGAGAAGTAGCTGGAGGAAAACCATAGTGCATTGTATCTGACAAATGTATTAAGTCAAAATTGTGCAGTCTGCTTTTCCAGTTGGTTTCTAGATAAGGCTCATGGTACTGTATCAACTCATGCCCGGGAAACACAAATGAAGCAGAGAGGCTCACTACACAAAAGAAGAAGAGAGGCTCACTGCACAAGCAAGAGGGAAGAAGACTAATGGCTAGGATTCACACTAAAACCAAGACTATGCTTCTTACCACGGAGGGTGACACTGAAAAACGAATAACTTTTTTTGGATCTTCTTCTCCAGAGTGTCGTTTATAGTAGAGGAACAAAATACTGTTTTGGAAGCCCACGGAGTTAGATTTCAATTCTTCATCTGCTACCTCTAAGTTTCTCGGGTATTAAATAGAAATAGAAATATTTCCTTTTCCGGGTTCTTAGAATTAAATAAGACACTGTTAAAGTACTTGGGACAGTGTTTGATTCTTAGCATGAACTCCTAAAAGACACGAGGTTATAAAAATCTGATTAGATCGTTCATGTGAAAGCAAAATGAGTCCTATTACTCATTTTAAGAGTCAGGAATCTACTTTTTCTGAGCCTGTTCTAATGTTCTTTACGAAAGTCGGGCCATTGTTTCCCTCATCCACCAGGTGCACCATAATAGTCACCCTTATTCTTATTTAAGCACACAATCTCTCCTCTCTCTCTCTCTCTCTCTCTCTCTCTCTCTCTCTCTCTCTCTCTCTCTCTCACTTTTCTCTTGTTTGGGGTTGTTCGTTTCTAGACTTATGGGTGTTTTTCCATTTGAAAATCTCTGTTCCTCATCAGGCTGGGAAACCATACAGGAGAAGAAATACCTACCACGCTCAGTCTGGGCCTGCCCTACGGTGGTCAGAGGTCTGCCCAAAGTAGCTGGTCGCGACGCGGCCGGACGGGCCAATCAGAAGAAGTTTGGCCCTCTGCAGTTTCCGTCCGCTCACTAGGAGGCGCTGCGGTGGCGGCATGGGTCTGTTGGGCTGGCGGCTAAGGCTGGTGGCCATGGAGTGGGGCTCTGAGCCGGCTGCTGTGAGGCGGCATCGCGTCGGAGCCGAGCGTCGGGAAGGACTGGAGGCTCCGTCGCAATCGGAGAGGGAGGCCTCGGCTCAGGAGCCCTTGGTAGACGCGGCCAGAGGCCCGAGGACGCGGAAGAGGAGCCCGGGGGGTAGCGGCGGCGCTAGCCGAGGCGCGTGGACTGGGCTGTCCGAGGCACGCGCAGTGGTGGCGATCGCTGTCTACCTGCTGGCTCTCCGGTTTCTGGTACAGCTCTCGCTGCAGCATCTCGTGCTGCGGGGGACCTCTGGGCACCCCGGCGAGTTCGACGCGCGCCATGCCAGGTACCGGCAGCTCTCGCCCGGCACTGCCCGCGCGTCCCTTTGCGTTCCCTTCCCGGGCGCCAGGGCACGGTACCTGCGTGCACCTGCCGGTGCGGGAGGCGTAGGTTTAGTCCCCGCATCGCAGGTGCACGTGGGGTGGGGTTGCCTTAGGTGCCCTTCTTCTGGGGTCCGAACTGCCGGGATGGGGACTTGTCTGGTCTCCTGTTTATCTCGTGGTACGTACCTACAGATTGGGGGTGGCCGGGTGGATTGAGCCTCCTTTTTCACTTACACGTGGAGCTGCCTTTTTCACTTACTCATGTGCTCTCCCTACACATGATTGGTTGTTAGTGGTATCCACATCTTCTGGAGCAACTTCCACTTTTTGCCTTGATTAGCTTTCTTACTTTTAAAATGAAATGAATGAGAAAGAAATAATATGTGTCCAGACTGTACTATAAATTCAGTTTTGTGTGTGTGTGTGTGTGTGTGTGTGTGTGTGTGTGTTGGGGGGGCACTGTTGAAAGAGTCTAGTGTAGTGTTCTTTCTGAGGTTTACAGCCCCCAAATCTGAAAGCTATGGAGTCTCAGTGGAAAACCCATTCGAAATTTTGCACATAATTTCAGAAGTTCTCAAATTGTCTTTGGGGGTGCCCTAGGTTAGTGACTGTAAGGTTTAACCTTTTGTTTTTAAAAAGACCTTTAGGTGTGTTAGGAAAGGTGATTAAGTTGGGGGTATTGTAATAAGTGTCTGAAAGTTAATAAAATCATAAGTCAGCAGTTTTCAACAATCATTGTGTTTTGATTGCAAAGTGCTGAAAGCTTTTTAGGGACTTTCTGGAACACTCCTAACCCTCTCTTTTTCCTTATTTGTAATGCATTGAAACTTTTTTTTTTTTTTTTGCTTTAGGATAGAGTTGTTGTGGCCTGAATTGAAGATTTTGGGTCCTGTGTGCACAGAAGGAAGGCTGAGTCCATTCCTCACCAAATGTTTTTCTTTGGTTATTTACCCTCTTGACTTGATTGTCTTTGCTTATTGATTTCTGCCATTTAGAATTGGAAACCCAGAACTAATAACCTTTAGGAGTGGTGGCACCCTGAAGTTGTATTCTCCTATCCAGCCTTCAGTGTTCACACATTTTGAATATGATCCTGTCTTTCTATTGATTTGTTATGGAGATTGAGAGAAATTGGAAGCCGGATGGGTAGATAAAACTGAAGGCATTAACTCTTGGGAGGCAAAATAAAATGATGGAATTTTACAAATGATTGTTCTATAGGGTTGGGGATGTAGCTCAGTGGTAGAGTGCTTGCAAATAAGTGCTTGATTTAATAACAAGGCAGTATTTTTTTTTAATAGGAGAAACCAAAGAACTATGCTTTTTTTGAGGGAAGAAGTGGCATGTAATAGAAAAGTTGCTCTGTTCTAAGTGTTGGTTTTAAGCCTACAAGTGTTTGTCATCATCATTCTTTTGGCTGCTTCCAGGGATTATCTTGAACATATAACATCCATTGGCCCCAGGACTACAGGAAGTCCAGAAAATGAAATCCTGACTGTGCACTACCTTTTGGAACAGATTAAATTGATTGAAGTTCAAAGTAATAGACTTCACAAGATTTCAGTGGATGTACAACGGCCTACAGGCTCCTTTAGCATTGACTTCTTGGGAGGCTTTACAAGCTACTATGACAACATCACCAATGTTGTAGTAAAGCTGGAACCCAGAGATGGAGCCCAGCATGCTGTCCTGGCTAACTGTCATTTTGACTCAGTGGCAAATTCACCAGGTATGTACCTGTTTTGCAGACATTTTAAGACTTAATAGCCAAGAAAGTTTATTAACAACCTAAAGATGTTTGGGCAGTTTTGGAGACCATTTTCTTGGACAAGTTTTTTTGTTGTTGTGATGGAAGGTATCAGTTTTAATATCTAACCATTCAGTTTTCTCTTATGTGCTTCATTATTATTACTTTTTTAAATATTAATGCTGGTAGCCCAATCATGAAATGTTTTTGGTAGACTGAAGCAGCCTAATCAGTGTTACCAGTCTGTGTCCTGTGTCCTAGAGTCAGGTCTGTCACTTCAAGTGTTTATTTAGTTAGGTATTGTAAAAGTAGTGGGGATACTTCGTAAAGAATAGTCTTTGCCTTTAAGGGATACATGATTTGGAAGATACCACTTCTGGCAGTTTCTGTTGACTTGTAAAGGGAGAATTTTGTGTGCCACAATTAATTTAAAATTTTGCTCTGAAATACCTGGAAAAATAGGATACTTGATATTTAGGACAGTGCCTGATATAATGTATATTTTCCAAATGATTGAAAATCTCCTAAATAGAACTTTAATTTTGTAAAATAAGATTCCTCAGAAAATTGTTTTCAATAGTTAAAGTAGGAAAAGTGGATAAATACAAATAGAAAATAGCATTTTACAATGTTATCATTTAGAATGTACTTGGCTTTTTCAGAAATCAGTATGCACATATTTGTTGTGTAAAAGCTGGAGTACTTTCCTCCATGTTGGAAAAACCAGTGGTCTTTTATGTCAGAATAAAAGCACTAATAAAACAAGCATCACCCTCTATAATACATCAGTTCTGGGAAGGGGCAAATAAGTATCATAATTGTTTTAAGGATATTATATAAGAAAGGTTTGTAAATAAGTAAATGTAGAGGAAGAAAAAATAATTTTCCCTCTGTCCTTCATAGTTCTTAGATGGATTGAATTCCTGTAATAACAAAAAGATCGTTTTTGGTGGGGGGGCAGTGCTGGGGATCTAACCCAGGACCTTGTGAATGCTAGGCAAACACTTTACCACCGAACCATATCCCTAGCCTGAGAAGATAGATTGAAAAGAGAAAAATCGAAGTTTATTACCATGTATTACAAGGAAGGTATCCAGGGAAAATGAGTAAATATCAAAAAGGTGGCTTAGAACTCTGGTTTATATAGCATCTTCAACAAAAACACAGTGCCTTTTGGATTAACAAGACAAAGGAAAAGGACTCCGAGTCTCCATGGCCAGCAAATTGTTTGAATATAAATATATTGTAGATAAAGCTAGTTAGTAAAGTTTGTTATTTAAATTTCTCTGCTGCAGTTTCTAGGTTAATAAGGGTCTAAAATTGTCTTTGGTGATCAGCCTTTGACCTTCTTGGTAGAGAGGGAAGGTAGAATACCTCCATAAATTTATATCCTATTGCCTATTTTAGGCAAATAGGAGGAAGGCAAGAGCATTTATCCACTTCTCAGTTGCTTTCAGCTCAAAATAATCCTTATGCCAAAGTGGCATATTCTGTTATTCTTGGGGCCAAGTGTTACAAATTGCATATGTAGTGTGCTAATTAAAGAATGGTATTTTTGTGAGTCATTAGAATCCATTTTTACCTAGATTTTTATAAGAATACCTATACCAATAGTCTCAAGGAAATTTCTGTCAAGAAGGTGTTAAAAATAATAAAATAAGGTTTTGCACATTCATCAAATAGACTATTACCTGAATTATTCTTGTGGGATAGAAATTGAAGTATGAGTTTTTTTTTTTTTTTGTACTGGGGATTGAACTCAGGGGTACCTGACCACATCCCCAGCTCTATTGTTTTTGAAACTCAGGAACTAGTACCAATTAGGAGTAATCTTATTCACACAAAAGCCTTAATTATCTTTTTGAGTCTGCTGTGAGGTTCTCAGTCATTGGTAGAAGAGTTATTGAGTTATTTGGGGAGTGGCTTCAATTTTGGGGTTAATTCTAAACAGAAAGGTAGGTTGCTCAACTACTCCCCTTTCTTTCTCTTCTAAGATACCAGAACCATTAAAATAAGGGAAGATAAATGGACGGCATAATTTATTAATCAACCCTGTAATGATAAATATGTTTAATTTCCCTTTTATTTTTAATAAAGAAAAATTTTATTGTTTGCTTTTTATTATAAAAGGATTCTCAGCCTCAAAGTAAAAGTAAATGTTTTGGGGCTGGGGTTATAGCTTAGCCATAGAGCACTTGCCTCATGCATGGTAGGCACTGGGTTCTATCCTCAGCACTACGTAAAAATATTATGTCCATCTTTTAAAAAAAAAAGTAAATGTTTAAAAAAATATTTTTGTTTCTGGACGGCACTTTTTAAAAAAAAATTTTTGTAGTTGTAGATGGACAGAATGCCAGAATGCCTTTATTTTATTTGTTTATTTTTATGTGGTGCTGAGGACTTAACCTAGTTCCTCACACATG